CTATACTGTCTCTAAAAGTCAAAGAAAGCCACTAGTATGGGACTCTCAAGTCCAGAGCTCAGTGTACCAGCTTTGCTAAACAAACTGAGCCACTCCTACTTGCTAGAATTAACACACTGAAACCCAAATTTCTTGTAAGTTTGCTCTATCTGTAACTAAGCTGGTCCAACATTATGCTCCAGATTGAACCCATTAGAATCCATTTCCTGTACACTCCCAGGTTCCTGCTGTTGACAATGGGTTAATATCCCATAGTTCTTTTGGCACATGAACAGCCTTTGTAGTTGTTTTCTGGGACATGTTGGGACCTTACTCAGTAATGGGAGCTAAAGAAGAATAGGCTTTGAGAAGGCAGCATTCCCTAGTCAAGTGGCCTCTGCCAGTGAGGTAAGAAAACTTCAATGAAAGGCTCATCTCCTCAGATGGAGACAGTCAGCCATGTCCACTAACGAGGAGACTCCAAGGAGTTGGGCAGCTAAAGGTGTGTGGGTGTCCTCCCAATACTCCCCATTCCAGTTTTCAAGTGCCCCACTCTTCCCAGTCTATAGACTAACTTCACATATGACTATAGCTGTGAATTCATTTTATGTTGCAATTATGCATTAGGTAGGATCAAAGTCCGGCCTTCAGCTCTATCAGCTTGCAGGCTACCAAAGTTACAGGGAACTGGTTGTCCAAAAGATGATCCAACAGTTCAAAGCCTGAGCTTTGACTTTCTGAAACTTCTCCACTGCAATCAGAAGAAGATAGCCCATCCAAGCCTTGTGGCCATCATTACCACTGTGATACTCACTGCGGCAGTCTTGCCTTCAAAGGACTTTCCACATGATGGCTTGTGTCTAGATATCCCCTGAAAGCCTCATTTGGTCATAGGAAGGGGTTTTCAGAGGTGTCTGGATCTAGAGTGTGTAGTGCTGGGATTAAGGATGTGTGATTACTAAACCAGTCCACTGACTGGCTTGGCATAGCTCTGAGTGTGGATAATGGGAAAGCCCAACCTGGGTTTGAGTGCTAGACACTCTAAGGGCATGCAGCCTGGATAGACTATAAGGGACAGAAAGAGGGCTGCTGCCTTCACTAGCTGCTTGCTGCCTCCTGCCTTCTGCCTCCCATGCTGTGAACGTTTTTTTCTCTTCTGTGATGTCCCTGTCTTGCTGCCCTGCTTTAGAGCCAGCAGATTATGGACTGAAACCTCTACAAACTATGAGCCAAAATAAACCTTTCCTTTTTTTTTTTTTTTTGTACTAGGGATCGAACTTAGGACCTTGCACTTGCAAGGCAGATGGTGTAACCACTGAGCTAAATCCCTGGCCCTAAACCGTTCCTCCTTTAATTTCAGGTGTTGGGCATTTTGTCTCAGAAATGAGAAAAGTAACTAAGACAGTTGGTGATGATTTACGTAACTGTTTCACTAGGGCTTGCTGTCAGCCAGGCCATGTCTAGGGATCAGTGCATTAATTCAGACAACCAGTCAGATTCCTATTTGTGTGGGTCTGTTTCCTAGGTCCACTCCAGGGACTAAGTACACACAATCATCACTCAATCAGGAAGGCAGAAACCTCTCAAGGTATTTCAAACAGAGGGACTAAATATCTGGAATTGAATTCAACGATTTTTGAAGAGCTGGAGGGGCAACAGAAAGAGAAGGTGCTCTCAGCACAGGGAAAGAAATGCTACCTAGAGGTCAGGAAGCTGGTACTGCCTCTGGTCTGGGGCCCAGGAGCCTACACTCCAGGTGCTGCTGCAGCTCAAACCTCAAACCTGCTCCCCAGCTGGTGCTGCTCACTATACTTCCCCTACACTCATCACCCTGTGGCAGTCCCTTCACACTAGAAGATAAATAAGGCTTCTCTTTCCCCACTGCAGAAGCCAGCTGGCAGGGGATCTGGGAGTGTAATGAAGTGCCTTCTAGCACTGATGAGAATGGTGCAAAGAGGCAGCAGAAAATAATGCACACACCTCTCATGGAGCTGTGAAGATAAAGTGAGCTAACAGGTACAGAGCGAACAACAGAATGAGTCTCACTCATTGTGCTTTTCCCAGTGCAGGGAAGTTCCTACAGCTTACAGAGCCTACTTGTGTCTTTGATTTGCAGCTCATCTTTCTCTTAAGTGGTGTGCATTTCCCCTCTTTTCCATCCTGAAGATTTCCTTCTTTGCACCTCTCCCTAGTTCCCAAACTATAATGCCTGCAGCCATCACCTGCAACTTCCATAACCTAACCGTCTCATCTCTCTTCTTGAATTCTTTTGGTTCTTTTCTTAATGCTCCAAACACCTTCTTCCCATTTTTTCTTCATGGTAACCCACCCTTCTCTAAAACATACTCGAGAAAGACAAACCATAAGATACCATCTATAGAAACAACACCTCTCTCCTTTCCCTCATTGCTCTCAGAACGAAAGCCAAAATTCTCACCCAGCTGCCTGAGCTGATTCCACTTACTTGCTAACCACGTATCCTGGGCTCTCTGCTTCACCCATGGAGATCCAGCCACCCTAGTCTTTCAGCTCCTCAAACTGCCAAGGCTTCTTCCTTCTTGGTTGTCCGTCCCACTGGCTATGTTAGATAGCCCATCTCATTCCAGCCTTTTTGCATGGATGGCTCCTTTTCTTCAGTTCTGAGCACAAAGGGCACTTCTCAGAGAAGCCATCCTGTCATCCTCACATGGTTTCACTTTCCTCACAGCACTTACCATTGGAGATATTTTTATTTATTTCTTGGTCTGCCTCATGCGTGAAGTAAGCTCTGTGAAAGCAGGGGTCATGGCTGATTTTCGTCACTGGCTATACCTTTGTGCCTAATGGTGGCTCACATCATTCTTCAGTATCCCTAGGTTCCACACCTATAAATTCAACTCACCTGGGATGAAAAATATTCAGGAAAAAATTTCATCTGTACACATCATGTATAGTACTTTGTCATTATCCCCCAAATAATGCGGTATTTACAACTATTCATATAGCATTTACACTGTATTTGGTATTGAAAGTACTCTAGATATGACAAAGTACTGTACAGGGGAGAATGTACATTGTATAGGCTATATTTTATATAAAGGACTTGAGTTTCTACAGAGTTCTGTATCCCCCAAGGATACAGACAGACAACCATATTTTGTGCTCATTTATATTTGGGCCAGAACCCAAATGACGACAGTGAAACTTAAAATTCTTCAACCCAAACGTCTGCCAAATTTGTTCCTCCCACAGAGTTCTCCATCTCATTAAATGGAACCATCCTTCTTTCACTCACTCTCCACATCAGATTAGCAAGTCCTTTTGATGTGGAAAATAACTCCCAACTTGCTATGAGGAGTGAAGTCAGGAACCAAAGTAGGAGGTTAGGAGAGTTTTATTGAATATAACAGCTCCTGAATTTCCAAGAGGCATCTTGAGTGGGTGGCCACAGAGGCTCTTTGTCAAGGGCACTTTATACAGCAAAATCACAATGCAGGTACAACACGGGTCAAACCACAGTCAACCTATGCAGTTACAAGTATAGATGCTTAGTTAATACTGATCCAATAAGGAAGTGAGGCACACAGCAAGGGTATATGGTGAGCATCATTCATCACTAACTTTAGCTTACTTGGGGCTGGGGATTTAGCTCAGTGGTTTCGCCACCTGCTCTGCAAGCGCAAGGACCCAAGTTCAATCCCCGGTACCAAAAAACAAAACAAAAAAACAACAAAAAAACCTTTAGCTTACTTATAACTTATAATCCTCGAAAGAACAAAGGCATTCCTGAAAGGTATAGGAGTATGGACCCAGATGTTCTAGTCATCCACTTGTGTGTCTGATTCCTAGCTGGCCTTTCTGGACCAGGTGGTGCTAATTACAGTACACTTTAATCTCATGCTGCTATTTATCTCTATGGAGGCTTGCAGCCTTGGCTATTTCGTCTGGATCTTGAACTTTGGTCCTCTTCAGATTTGCCTCCAACCACAATCTTGATGTGCCTCAACTGCAATGACTCCCTCAGGGCCAGATCCTTCTGACTGCTTATTAATTTTTTTTTATTCCTAGCCCTCCCTTCACCCCCTCCACCCTTCCCTATTTACAAAGACTTTGCTTCCATTTTTTCCATTTCTCATTTTTCTTTTCCCTTCTTTCCTTTCCCCCGCCCCTCCCACTACCCCTATAATACTTTGACTTCAAATTATATCTCAAATCCAACCATTTTCCATGATCCTTGTAAAAGTTAAGATGGACCACCTTACTCTTCCAAGAGACTCCTTACTTATTTGGGAAGAATTCTACGTCTCAGAGGGCTATCTTGGGGCTACCTCATCTGGCCCAAACCACCTCCTGCCATTCTTTTCTTAGTCCTTTCACTCTAGCCACACTAGCCTCCTGACCAGCAATTACTGCTGCCTATCCCACTCACAATCAGCAGCCAGAGTGATATTTTTAACTTAAAGCCTATCATTTTTTTCAACGGCGTCCTATTTTTCTTAAAGTACAATCCAAGAGGACAGAGCTCCTGAAAACTTCCCTGAGTACATTTCACACACAGGGCTCCCCGGTCCCTTAAGAGGTTTTTTTTTTTTTGCGGAACCGGGGACCGAACTCAGGACCTTGCGCTTGTCAGGCAGGCGCTGGCCTCACTGAACTAAACCTCCGGCCCCCTTAAGAGGTTAATTATGAATGGCCTTTGCGAGTAGAAGGAAAGCCTTTCTTAGACGTCAGAGGGTGGGTCCTCTCATCTCTAACACTTTAAAACAATACTCTCTGGCTCATCATCTACTGTTTTATTTCCCTTCAAGGTACATCTCACTACCAGTAAACAACAGAAAAGTCTTTTGGGGGGGGGGGTTTGGTACCGGGGATCGAACTCAGGTCCTTGAGATTGCGAGGCAGGCGGCAGAACCACTGAGCTAAATCCCTGGCCCTAGCTCTTTCTTTTTTTAAGGGGAGATGGCCCTTGCTGTCGTCTAGGCCAGCCTGGAACTTTCGGATACAAACTACCTCCCACCTTGGACGCCGCCTCCGCGTCCGGTTGGAAAGCGTTTCTTCTGTTCGCTGCCCCATTTCAATCCCAGCACACAGCAGGTACTTAATACACACTCGCAGGACGCCTATAATCAGGTCCTGAAACTCGCCCACGGCTTCCCAGGACGCTCGGCGTCTAGCGTCCTTGTAAGTCTGAGCATGCGCGGCTCGCAGAGTACCATGGGTAGCTCCCTTCCAGACTACGACTCCCAAGGGCCTGCAGGGCGCCGGCCAGCCTGCCGCTAATTCGCGCGGGAGTGAGAAGATGGCGGATGTGGCCGTAGGCAAGGACAAGTGTGGGGAACAGCGGCTCGTGTCGCTGCCCCTGTCTCGTATCCGGGTTATCATGAAGAGTTCTCCCGAAGTGTCCAGCATCAACCAAGAGGCGCTGGTGCTCACGGCCAAGGCCACGGTGAGGCGGCCCGCACCCCGGGAGAAGCGAAGCTGGGGAGGGCGTGGGCGCCCTTAACCGCCACACCGGGCTGCGCTGCACTGTCCGGGGTTGTTCTTCCCGGGCACCGCAGGCTCTCCGGGCTGAGTTCGCGAGCGCCTCCTCGCCACTCCCGTCGTCCCCCTCGCTTCCCCTTGAGCACGCCCATTCACGCCGCTCCTGCCGTCCCCCGCGGTTTCCCTGGCCCCGCCCAACCGTGTCGCTCCCGTCGTCCCCTGCGTTTCCGCTCTGTCACGCCCATTAGCGTATCTTGGTGGGAAGCGCCATGCTCAGCGTTGACTGGTGCGAGTCTCCCTGGCGTCACGGCACTTGTAGCTGCAAAGATTTCCTTCTTAAAAAAACTCCTTGCTAGCTTTGTAGTATGGGATCCCACGAAGCCTCCTTCGCAACCTGGGGCTTTCTTCCCGCAAGTGGGGAACTGGCTTTGAGAGTCCCGGGGCCCTCCAACCCTCCGCCCATTCATATTTTTTGATCATGCTGTTGGAAGTCTGTTCCAGCATGGAAAATGCTTTTTGTTTGGGCAATATGTAATGTGCCAGTTTTCAGCTTCAGGTTGTTTGTTCTAGTGTAGTTGTAATACGTGAACCATCTTCAAACGAGGGATTTAAATGGAAGTTTAAAATGTTCCTGCGTCAGATAGAATTTTTTTTTTCAGTGCTAGGATCAAACCCAAGGCTTCACTCAAGCTACGCAAGCACTCTACCAGAGCTAAATTCCTGGGAGAATTTTTTGGTCTTTTTGCTCCTTCCTTTTATTGCAGAGGTTGATCATTAAACACTTAAGATTCATTGTTTTTGGTCACCTGTAAATACTTTTCATAAATTACACATCTAGACTAGGCTCTGGAAAATGCCTGTCTCCTCTCCAGTTTGGGACACAGTCTTGGTTTCTTTCTGACCTCGTGTTTCTCTTTTCTCCTGTAAAGTGACTTTCAGGAATTTAACTTGAGGAACTTAATATACAATTTTGGGGGTGGGGAGGGTACCGGGGATTGAACTAGGGACCTTGTGCTTTCGAGGCAGGCAGTAGAACCACTGAGCTAAATCCCCGGCCCTTAATGTACAATTTTAATGTAATTTGAAAAATTAGATCTCTGGTGAGTTTCAAAGCACTCCTTTTATGTTACTTTCTCATTTTATTTTAGGAGCTCTTTGTTCAGTATCTAGCCACCTATTCCTACAGACATGGCAGTGGAAAAGAAAAGAAAGCACTGACTTACAGTGATTTAGCAAACACTGCAGAGGAATCGGAAACTTTTCAGTTTCTTGCAGGTATTTAATCTTTGAAACATTCTTGTTTAAAAATGCCCGGGTAATTAGAGGTTTTTCTCCCTGGTTTTGCTTTCACTGAATTAGACACGACTTTTTCTTCAGGTGCCAGTTTACCATGAGACAGCAATAGGGGTTATTTTTGGTCTTTCCTGAATATGGTTATTATGTGGTCCACTTAGAACAGTAACAAAGTCAGTAGGATGCACAAGATGTTTGGTTGGCAGGGCCCAGCTGTGGAAGGGAAGCTCTGTTGGGGGGTCTATTTTAGACCCCCCAACAGAGAAATTAATACTTGTTCTGTGGAATAGGGCCACAGGTTAAAGAGAGCTCAGGTCTATCCCTGGGACCAGCTCAGCCTATTTCAAGTTAAGCAGGGTTGCTCACAAAACCAGTGCATAAAAGCACTGTGGGTTAGAGCCAGGTGTGATGGTACATGCCTGTAATCCCAGCACTGGGTAGGCTGAGGTAGAAGGATCATCTCAAGTTCAAGGCTGCCTTGGAGTAAATAGCAAGACCCTGTCTCAAAAAAAACAATACATAAAGGGCCAGGGATTTAGCTCAGTGGTGCCACCGCCTGCCTCACAAGTGCAAGGTCCTGAGTTTGATCCCTGGTACCAGAAAAACAAAACAAAACCAAAAACAATAAATAAAATAATCAACCAGCCAACCATGGTATGCAGGCCGTGGAATGGGAGCAGGTCTGTAGCATTAGTTAAGAGATGATACCAGTTATCCTGTTTTACTCAGAAGCATAGCCTGGATTTCATCTTGTTTTGGAACCTGTTTTAGAGGTCAAAACAGGCATTAGTACATTTTGAAATTTGTACTGCTGTATTCATAGTTTATCATAATGAATTGCTGATGTAAGCCTTATGATTTTAAGATATATTACCAAAGAAGATTTTAGCTAGTAAGTACCTGAAAATGCTTAAAGAGAAGAGAGAAGATGATGAGGCGAATGATGACGAAAGTGATGATGGTGAAGCTGAGTCCTAAACCAAAAAAGAAGTGCTTTAGAAATCAGCCTTCCAGGATGTTTCTGGAGAAGCACCGTTCCTCTGAAGCAAGCACAGCACTGTGTACTTTGCTCCCTTCATGTTCCCAGACTCCAGCATGATGCCTTCTTTCCTGGCTGACACAAGCATCTCCCACATCTGCACTGGAAAGAACCAAAGGGAGAGTGACCCTGACAGTGCCTTGTGACAAGGCCCACCCACAGTGGGAGGCCATCAGGAGAGTCCTGTGCCCACACCATTACAGCTAATCTGCTGAGCTCAAGCTGGATGGTCCGAGACCACTGCGCTTCCCTTTGGAACTTGCAGATAGACTTTGAAGAGCTTCTGAATATTGTGCAAATTTATATGTAATTCTGAAATTATTTCTTGTAAACAACTAGATTTAGTTTTAGCTAAATGTGTAGTTTATAAGTAGTATGTTACCTTTGAACTTTGGTGAAGATTTGACAGCTGAAAATTCTTTTATTATAAAGAAACATGGTTTCCTTTTCATAGTAAAATGCTTTTTGGAACTAGTTTTAGGGCCTTCTATGGTTCTAGTGCCTTGCTCACTACCTGAGAATTTAGTGAAATTTAAAAACAGTCATTTCTGGGTGGGGGTGTAGCCCAGTGGTAGAGTGTGTTCTTAGCACACACATAAGGCCCTGGGGTTGATCCTCAGTACCAAAATGGCAACAACAGAAACCACTTTTATTTCCAGAGAAAAATTCCAAGTCAAATTATCAAATAAAATACAAAAAAGAAATATTACCAGGTGGGTACAGTGGTGCACACCTGTAATCCCAGCGCTTTGGGAGCCTCAGGCAAGAGAATCTCAGGTCCTATCTGGGCAATTTAGTGAGACTCTGCCTCAAAATTTAAAAAAATTTAAAAATGGCCAGGGATGTAGCTCAGTGGCACCATGCCTGCCTTGCAACTGCAAGGTCCTAAGTTTGATCCCCGGTTCCAAAAAATAAAATTTAAAAAGTTAAGAAAAAAGAGTCTGTGTATATTGCTTAGCATGAAGACCCAGGTTCAATCCACAGTACCACAAAAACAAACAAAAAAATTACCTCTGCACATACTGTTTTAAAAAAGATTTTATGTTGAAAATACTTTTCATCTTCCTGTTCTTTGCTTTAAGTCCTAGTAATTTGTTTTTACTGTCTACAAGAGAAAACCCTTAAGCTTTATTATATTTTTTTCTGCATAGGGTAAATGTTTGACTCTTTTTTCAGTATATCTTTATTTTTACAAAGTTAAATTTACAGCAAGGCACGATGACACATGACTATAATCCCACCACTCAGGAGGCTGAGGCAGGAAGGTTGCCATGAGTTCAAGGCCAGCCTAAACTGCATAGTGAGACAGTCTCAAAAAAACAAAAACTAAAATATATATCCAGTAAAATCACACCTTTTGGTCTCAAGCCTGAATTTTGACAAATGCATAGTTTTGCGGGGGTTTTTTGTTTTTTGTTTTTTTTCCTGTACCAGAGATGGAACTTGGGACCTTGCTCTTATAAGGCAGGCGCTGGAACCACTGAGCTAAATCTCCGGTCCTGCATTTTGTTTTTTAGCTACAGTCTCGCTTTGTTACCCAGCCTCAGTTGGCCTTAAACTTGTGATCTTCTTGTTTCTGGAGTATCTGGGGCTACAGGTGTCTGCCATCATGTCCAGAATACTCCCCTGTGCAAACTGTAGTTAGTCTCTTCCCCTAGCCCCTGGCAACCACTGATGTTTTCTGTATCTCTTGTTTTAAAAATTTTTTAAAAAATAAAACACTTAAAAATTACCTTTTTGATGTGTAGCTCTGAATTTTGACAGATGCAGTGATACAACCATTATAAGTAAGACAAAATTCTGTCATAAAGAATTCCACTTGTCGGGGCCAGGGATTTAGGTCAGTGGTTCTGCCGCCTGCCTCGAAAGTGCAAGGACCTGAGTTTGATTCTGGGACAGCGGTTTCACTGCCTGCTGTGCAAACACAAGGACCCAAGTTCGATCCCTGGTACCAAAAAAAAAAAAAAAAGCTTTTGAAAAGAAAGTTTATTCCAGTAAACAGAGACTAAAATCAGGAAGTTCTAGTAGCTAGCTGGGAAAAGCCGAGTTTATCACATCCATGTGTGGATGGGCTGACATTGGAAGAGAGAGATAGCGGCAGCTAGCTAGGAGAGATTTCACCCGAGTGGATGGCCTAACAACAGGGGAGAGAGATTAGCAACTACCTGGGAAAGGAATTACACTTACATAGGTATTGAAGGGGCCAAGGAATCTGGAGTGAAATGTTTATCACTTGGACACCCAAGGACGGTCTGCTCAGGTATGTGGCAGTCACTGGACTTCTGGCACCAGGGGTTTGTATACTTCGAGTCCATTTGCCCTATTTACCGAGAAGCTGCTGGTGTTTGCTAAAAGCAGCCTGTTTGCTTTGTCTCGTTTGTGAAGGACTGACTTAACTCAGGCCTGACACAGTTGTATCACCTTCTAAAAAATTCTGTCCTGAGATCAACTCCATCCTTTATGCTGGTAACCAGAGCTGTTCTGTCTTCTGTCAGTAGCAGAAGTCAGTGGACTTTGTGGAAGGGGCCATATATAAATATTTTAAGTTTTGTAGTTTTTTATAGTCTCTGTTGCCAACTACTCTGCCACTGTAGTATGCAAAGCAGTCAGAGGTAATATTTAAAGGAAACTGGGTGCGGTGGTAATGTCTCTCATCCTAGCACTTGAGAGGCTGAGGCAAGAGGATTGCTGCAAGTCCCAGGCCAGCTTGGGCTACATAATGAGTTCCTGAACTGCATGAGAGCCCGTCTCAAAAAAAGAGGAATGAACATGGCTGTATTTTAGTTAAATTAGTAAAACTTTATTTCTGGACATAAATTTGAATTTTATCTAATTTTCATGTCATGAAATACTCTCTCAGTCATTTAAGAATGTAAATACTTCTTAGCTTATATGCTTTATATAACAGGACTGAATTTGGCCTGTAAGTCCTACCTTGTTGACCCATCTTTTCTAGATGTCCTGTAAGTAGAGTCACATAGTATGTAGCATGCATTTGGCATGTTCATATTTAGTACAGTGTTTGTAATTTTTCCATGTAGTTGCAGGTTTGTCAACTCTCACTTTATTGCTGAGTAGGATTCCATCATATAGATGTACCACTTATCCGCTTATCCATTCTCCAGGTACGTAGTGCCGTTTAGATTATTTGTAGTATATAGGTTTTGGGTAACCACAAGATTCCATTTCAGTTGACACAGACCTATGAGTGGAAGCTGTGTAAGTTTACAAGCAGCTACCAATCTAGTTCCCAGAGTGGCCATGCCATTGTGCATTCCCACCAGCAACAAGTGTGTTTGGTTGTGTTCTACATTCTCTGCAAAACTTAGTGTCAGTTTTGAGTTTTATATCTTCTTAATGCAAACCTGTTGTTGGAGAAATGATTTGCAAGCATTTTCTTCCAGCCTGTGACTCATCTTGTCATGCTCTTTTAGTTTTTTTTTTTTTTTTTTTTGGTACTGGGGACTGAACTGGGACCTTGTGCCTGCGAGGCAGGCGATGGAACCACTGAGCTAAATCCCCAGCCCTTGTCATGCTCTTTTAAAAATTTTTTTAGGGCTGGGGATTTAGCTCAGTGGTTCCGCTGCCTGCCTCGCAAGCACAAGGGTCCGAATTCGATCCTTGGTACCGGAAAAAAAACCCCAAGAAACAAAGATCAAAGAGATCTGTGTCAGTCTCTTGGCAGGACAGATACTCTGTCTGTGTATGACCAGCTGAAGAACCCTAACCCACTACAGGCACTTCAGGTGTTCAGATCCAGTTGTTTAGGGATCGAGCACTTACTGGTCCTTGGTTCCTGCTTGAACATGTGCTTGGTCATAGCAGCTTCTCACTGGTTTCCTTACTATCTCTACAGCCTCTGTACTTCCATCTTGGATGTGGATATCAGATTAGCAAAATGATTTCATGATTAACATCCTTCTGGTCATGAGTGTTAAAAGTAGCTGACATTTGCAAAAGCCACTGAAGGCTGAGCCTTTCTGTGTGTGCTGTGCATATTTTCATTGAATTCTCACACCTCACATATTAATCATGTTTTACCAAGAAGGGAATGGGAAGATCAGATTCCAAGATGCACCTAGAAAATGGTGGAAATGGGCCTGAAATCTTAAGACTATAATCTTCAGTGGAACATAGAGGTTAAAAAGTAATGTTTACACTCTCTTGGGTAGATTCTCAGCTTGGCATTCAAGGTCCTTGATGCTGATCTCATTCTGCAATCCAGTATTTTCTACATCTGCTGACAGGCTCTGTTATGGCTTATATTTGTATGTGCCCCCCCCCAAGCCTCATGCAGTCACAGGTGGGGCTTTTTCTGGAATTGATTCCTGGTGCAATGCTAGCCTCAAGGGCACTGGGATTAAGGGTGTGAGTGCTACCCACCCTAAGCAGTCTGCATAAGATAAAAGGGGTAGAAAGACTGTTGAGGGCTCCTCCATTGGTCCCTTGCTGCTTTTGCTACCATGTGGGCACCATGAGCTCTTTCTCCCCTGCGATGCCACTCTGCCATGTGCCACTCTGCCTTGAAGCCAACAGATTATGGACTGAAACCTCTACAAACTGAGCTAAATAAGCCTTTCCCCTTTAACCTTGGGTGTCAGGTATTTTGTCTCAGCAATGAGAAAAGTAACTACAAGTCTCCTTTATCCTATACGAAACCTAAACATCCATCATACATCCCCCAATCAAGAAGCTGCTCTCTGGAATCCTTTCCTAGTTTGTGTAGCACCATCATGCCTTGCTTTTTACTTTTAGGTCTCTCCAGTTAGATCATGCCTCCTCCTAGCTATTCCACAAAAGACAGTGAATAGGAAAATAACAAGGTTAGGCCACAGAAAATATAGTTACAGATCTTTGTGTGTATATATGTGTGTTGTGCTGGGAATTTAACCCAGGGCCTCATGCATGCTAGGCAGGGGATCAGACATAGGGGCATGACCACTGAGCTGCTTCCCTGAGACTGGGTCTTGCTAAATTGTCTGTGCTGGGCTCAAACTTACAGTCCTCTTGCCTCAGCCTCCCAAGTGCTAGAATTACATCCATGTACCACCACACCCATAGATACCAGTTTCTGAGTATTCTTCCCATTATGACTGGCGTATCACAGGACCAGTAGGCACAAGTGTTTTGTAATTTTTGATACTAAGTAGTATAAGATTCTAGATACATTAAGAAATAACTACATCTTGATTTTGTCTTTTTTAAAAGGACTGTGGTACAACAGACCAGAATGTTGAGTAATACGTACTAATGTTGGTGATTACAGATTAAGTTAAATGACAAATTTAGCTTGCTTTAGCAACAGTATACATCCTAGGGATATTTAGCTGCCCCCACCTGCCAGTACTGGGAATCAAACCAATGGGGACTCTACCCTTGAGCTATATCCCCAGACTTTTTCTTTTTGAAACGGTTTTGCTGCGTTACCCAGGCCAACTTTGAACTTGTAGTCCTCTGGTGTCAGCATCCTAAATACCTGGGATTACAGATGTGTGTCACCACAGCCAGCTGTTTTTTGGGCTTAATCCAATCTCTTTTATTTCCTAATACCACCCATTCTTTTCAGTATAGCAGAAGTCAAAAACAGCTCAGAGACCGACCATCCAGGGATTTCAGAACAGTGCAGATGTGCCTCAACTCAGCCAGGGTAAAGAGGCTAAGGGACTGGCCAGGCCAAGAACCAGGATGTGGCAGGCTTGGGTTCCCACACAACACAGGGTGTAAGGGCTTACCACAACAGGCTCAGTGGAGCAACTTTTCAAATTCACTCTGGCTGTGGGTGTGGGAACACTCAACTCACCCATGTGGCACCTTGGTTCTTCCTCCTGTCCAGCTTTTCCCCAAGTCCCAGGTCCTGAAGCAATGCTCACTCTGTTGAATGCCTCCTTCAAGACTGAAGAAGGCTCTGGGCCCCATCCCTGAAGGCACAGAAACCGACCTTGGAATCTGTGCACATGTCACTGCCCGAATAGACATGTGAGTAACTGGAGATCTTTGGAAGAGGAAGCTGTAAATACGAGGAATTTTATTTTATTTTTTGCTGACATACTATGAGGCAAAACAAAATTGACACTATACAAAATAACTTTATAAAATATCATTCACATCATATTTTATCAGATTTACAGCATTTCTGTGCATGTTAGGAGTTATGTAAGGAGGTGAAAAAACACTATGCCAAACTTTAGTATTAGTTTATATACACACAGTAAGAAACAAAACAATAACTGTTAGGTATTCCATGAATTTATTGCAAAAATAGTGCAAACTACTTAACCTAGTAAGCTGTAAAAACAAACTTGAAAGGACCCAGCTAAGCTTAAACATGACAATAGATGCTCAGTATCTCAGCGTTTAGCTTTCTTCACCAGTTTATCTTGTCCATCCAGACCACTCCCCACCTGCTCAGTCTGGGGTGAGTGCTGAGGAGTAAGGAAATGTGAAGACTGGCTCTTCAGAGGCCAGACTTACTGGCTGCTTCAGTCAGCAGCACCTTTTAGCATCATGCTACTCACTCAATGACAATTTTGTGAGGTCTGTGCTGAAAAATTAGAATGTCATGATTTGTAATTTTGAGCTTGGAAATAAGATATCCAACCTCTTGTGATATGGAGAAGGGAATCAAGAAAGCAGCATGAGCAGAAAGGCTTAAGAACATTACTGTCTGCTTATAAACATAGTATCCTTTTCTTCAGGTGTATTTGGGTAAAGTATTTTTATGTAGGGCAACCT